GTAGGATGCAAATGGGTGTTTACTGTGAAATATAAAGCAAATGGGACAGTAGAAAGATACAAAGCTTACCTTGTGGCAAAAGGATACACACAAACCTACGGTATAGATTATACTGAGATATTTGCATCGGTGGACAAGCTTAATATAATACGAGTTCTTCTATCTCTGGCAGCCAACTTAGACTGGCCACTTCAGTAACTGGACATAAAAAATGCATTTCTAAATGGAGAATTGGAAGAGGAAGTGTTCATGACACCACCACCAGGTTTTTCCTTGCAAGAAGAAAATCAACTTTGTAAACTCAAAAAATCTCTATATGGCCTTAAACAGTCACCAAGAGCATGGTTCGATAGATTTGCTAAGGTGTTAAAAGGACAGGGATATCAGCAGGGACAGACCGATCATACTATGTTCTTCCAATAGTCAGAAAGCGGAAGGAAAATAATCTTGATTGTATATGTCGACGATATAATCCTAACTGGAGACAACATAATTGAGATGGAAAGACCGAAGAAACAACTGGCAAGGGAATTCAAGGTAAAAGATCTAGGATAGATGCGATACTTTTTGGGTATGGAAGTAGCGAAGTCAAGAAAGGGGATCAGTGTTTTACAGCGCAAATACATTCATGACCTCCTATCAAAAACATGTATGCTTGGATGTAAACCAAGTGACACACCAATTGATGCAGGAAGAAAGCCAGAAAATATTGGAAAATCAGTTGAGAAAGAAAGATATCGACGACTAGTGGGAAAATTAATCTATTTGTCTCATACTAGACCAAATATTGCATTCTCAGTCAGTGTAGTAAGTCAACATATGCACTTACCAAAGCAAACACACATGGAAGCAGTATATAAAATTCTCAGGTATATGAAAGGCTCATCAGGAAAAGGACTATTCTTCAAGAAAAATGAGAGGAAAGAAGTAGAAATATTTACGGATGCTAACTGGGCGGGTTCTACGGAAGATAGGAGATCAATAACTGGTTATTGTAGCTATATATGGGGCAACTTAGTAACTTGGAGAAGCAAGAAACAAAATGTTGTAGCAAAAAGTAGTGCAAAAGCTAAATTTAGAGCGATGGCCCAAGAAATTTGCGAAGGACTGTGATTAAAAAAAGCTTTTAGAAGAATTACAAGTTGGTGTGAAACTTCCAATCAAACTATACTGCGATAACAAGGCAGCAATTAACATCTCATTGAATCGAGTACAACATGATCAAACCAAGCAGGTAGAAGTAGATAGACACTTTATTAAAGAAAATGTTGAAAATGGAGTGATTTGTATGACTTATATCCCTACAAAGAAGCAAATAGCAGATATCTTCAGCAAAGGACTACCTCGACAATCATTTGACGAGTTCATTTGTAAGTTGGATATGATCAATATCTACCATCTAACTTGAGGGGGAGTGTGGAAAACTGAATGATTATACGAGATTAGAGGCAATTTTGGAATAATTGATGTGCCATATTTAATTTTGTCCATAATTAGGTAGGATTATTTGATCTCCTAATTTAAGAGATTATTTTCCTTTTTTTCTTCCCACTTGGTTGTATATAAGTATAGAAATCAAGAAGGAATAAAACAATTCACATAGAAAGACTTGTGATTCATTGTTTTCTACAAATATACTTCAAAATTCTATATACAAGAGCAAGTTGCCTAACAAGATGCTGCTTTCAATTTTTCGTTAAGAACTTTCATCCATGTGATTATCTAATAGGATGTATAAAGAATTCTGATTGGCTAATCTCTCATGCAAATTATTAGGTCTCTTCAGAAATTTTCGTACTAAATTTTGAATGGCCTTCATGAAATTATGAACCTGGTATTAAAATGCTCGAATTGACATTTTGCTATATTATAGTGTTGATATAGTTTAGAAAAATTTAAATAATCTCATTGTCTAGATATGGGAGTTTTGTTTGTTTACATGGGTTAGGAAGAAAGTATTGAAATTACAATGTTTTCACAATTTCTTTAATGTATAACCTATTATTTGATTTATGAGCAATTTGTTCGTTCACTTGTGTAATTTCTGTCCGTCACAATATTATCTTATTCGTCTGCATTAAGGACAAATAGTCTAATTTTCTTAAAAACAATTATATATTGAGTTGGTCTAACAATTGTCGTGTTCTCTTTTCAGAAAGGGAGGAAATTCTCATTGGCAGAAGCGACAGGAGAGAAAGCAGATTCAACCACCGAGAAGCAAAGTTAACTTTTAGGTGCTATACATTGAGCATCCATATGATGAGAAACTATTAGGAATGGACTGTAAAATATTGATTGTTATTCATTCAAGTCAATTGAAAACATATGGTCTTGGTACAATATAGGTAGGCACCAAAAGAAGGAAATGTAAATAGCTGTTATAACTATCTTTTAGCTGGTAAACTAACTTGCTAACTAACTGCTATGCAAAAGTTTTAATACTCTTCCTCAATATGTGTTGTAAATGTCTTTTACACATTTCTTGGATAACAAGGGATTAAGGACCAAAGTAGGTAATGGTTTGGTAAAAACATCCGCAAATCAATGGCACGAGCGAACAAGAAGAAGTTTCACTATTCCAGTTGTAATCTTGTCATGAATAAAGTGGCAATCGATTTCAATGTTTTTGTACATTTGTGGAATACAGGATTGGCTGCAATCTATATTGCAGCATGATTATCAAAGTAAAGTATAGCTGTAGATGTTCCATTGACTTGGAAGTCTCTCAGCAGCTGATTGATCCAATTCACCTCACTGACTGTGGATGCAAGAGCTCTATATGTAGCTTCAGCTGATGAACAAGAAATTGTGGGTTGTCTTTTTTATTTCCACAAAACCAATGAGTCACCAATGAAAATACAAAAACCAGTGGTGGATTTTCGTTTGTCGATGCAAGAGCCACAGTTTGCATTAGAAAATGCTCGAAGGCAGAGAGTAGAACCAAAAGATTTATGTGATGAGAAAAGAAAACCTTGTCCTGGACTGCCTTTCAAGTATCGTGGGAGATGATGAACGGCTTTAAGATGCGAAAGTCTTGGTTGAGACATATATTGGCTCAGTTTATGTACTGCAAAGGTGATGTCAAGGCGTGAGAGGTTAAGTATATAAGTCTCCCAATCAGCCTTCTGCAATGAGATGCATCTCGCAGTAGTTTACCTTCATGAATGTCGAGTGTCGTCTTAGGTTCCATAGGACTGCTTGTGGGTTTACAATCTAGATATCCCATATCTTCAAGAAGTTGCGGTATATATTGTCATTGTGAAATAACAATTCCAGATGAGGAACTTGCAATCTCAATCCCCCAAGAAATATTTCAAGCATCTTAGATCCTTGAGTTTGAATTGAGAGTGCAAGAACAGTTTTAACGAAGTGATCATTTGGATACTAGGTCCAGCGATGACAATGTCATCCACGTATACCAGTAGAGCCACAAACTATCATCAGACCCTTTAGTGAAGAGAAAATAGTCTGCCTTGGATTGAGTGAAGTCTTATTAAATGAGGGCATGATTGAATTTAGAATTCCATTGTCTTCGAGCTTGTTAAAGTCCATATATGGACTTGTGCAGCTTGCAAATCATTTTCTTCCCCAGTTTAAGTGGTTATGGAATTCATAGCCAAGAGGAAGGTCCATGTAGACTTCCTCAAACATTTCTCTGCTTAGAAACACATTATTGTCATCTAGTTGGATTAAATGCCAGTTCTAGTATGCTGCAAGGGTGAGCAAAACTTTGATAGTAACACTTTTGGCCACTGGAGAAAAAGTGTCAAAATTGTCCAATCCTTCTCGTTGCGTATAGCCTTTGCAACAATTTGCACTTTATGCCTTTCAAGAGATCCATCTTAGCCATATTTGTTTTTTTAAATCCACCTACACCAGATAAAATGCTTTCCCTGAGGAAAAGTAACAATGAACCATGTGTGTTTAAGCTCCATGGCTTCTAATTCTTGTTTCATAGCATCACGCCATTGAGGGAATTTGATAGCTTGATGGAAGAATTGAGATTCAATATAAGATAAAATGTTTAAGATGAAATGTTTATGAGGTTCAGACAAGTGTTTGTAAGTCATTAAGATATTTGGGGTCTAGAAGTTCTTTGGGATTTTCGAATGTCAAGGTTATTATGTATTGTAGGGGGTGATGATCAGGGAGAGTGGTCAAGTGGAGGCATGAAGTCATATGAGCATCATCTTGCAAGTCAGAATCAATGAGAACATGTTTTACCTAGGTAGATGTATCAGTGGAGAGAGATGATGAAGTGGATGGCAACACTAGATCAGGAAAGGGATCTAATATTTCATTAGCCCCTACAATAGTATGAAATGGAAAAATTTCTCCATGAAACACAACATCTCTGTAAATAAAAATATGTTTGGTGGATACATCAAGTAGCTTGTGTCCCTTGACCCTTGATGGATACCCTAAGAATATATACGACCTAGCTCTTGGTTGAAATTTGTTCCTATGTGAAGTAGTGTGGAAGCAAAACCCAAGCAACCAAAAACTCGGATATCGAATAGTCGGTAGGGCGAACGTGCAAGACTTCATAAGGCATCTGCTGCAAGATTGGAGATGGAGTTTTGTTGATCAAGTAGGCTGCTGTCATTACACATTTAGACCAGAACTTGATAGGGATTCTTAATTGGAAAAATAGAGCTTGAGCAACATTTAAAAGATGGTGTTTACGTTCTACTATAGAATTTCGTTGACGTTTTTCAATACAATTGTATTGGTGTAAAACCCCTTTTTCAGCAAAAAATTCACGAAAGGACAATTCGTGAGCATTATTTGATCTAAAACATTTAATGATGGCATTATATTATGTAGCAACCATACAAAATGAGCGATGAACCACATTTACAGCATCAGATTTTTGCCTCAACATGTAAATCCAAATAAATCTGGAACAATCATCAACCAACGTCAAGAAAAGTGTGATGTGACATGATATGGCCCCCATATATCACAATGTAGCAGATCAAAAGGTTTACTGGATAGTTTGTTATTGGACTCAAACGACAATCTTCTTTGTTTAGCAATGAGACAAATATAACAAGGAAGATGTTTATTCATTTTTGGAATATCACATGCCACATGTTCTTTCAACCCATCTAATCTCTTAAACGACAAATGGCCCAGTCTATTATGCCATATGTGAGCAGAACCATTACCAACAAAGTCACTAGAAACAGAGTTAAGAACTCTCGTGTTAAGTACATATAGGTCCTGAACTTTGTCACCCTTGCCAATCACCCTCTTGGTTGTGGCCTCCTGAATGAAGAATTGATCATGAAAGAAGCTCAATGTGAGTTGTGATCGAACAGATAATGCACTGGTTGATAATATATTAGATTTGAATTGTGGTAAAAATAGGGAAATACATGAAATTGACCCAAATAAGAGAGGCCATTTTCCAAAATGGCTTTTGACTTTTTCAAACATTTGGAACTACTTAAAATACCCTTAAACAAAATTAAAAACAACATATTTCATAATAAAACTCTTCTATCTAAGTCCTTAAAAAATTAACAAGTAATTTTTCTAAAAATTTGAAAGAATTATTAATGAATAATTATAAAATGAAAAAATCCAAATATAAGAGAGGACCATATAATATAAAAAAGGTTGTTAAAAATAAAAAAGAAATTAAGTTTGAAAAAGAAATTGATAAGATAGGATATCAAGAACAATTATATGCATCACAAGAACTATTAAAATGTTTCAAAGAAAACTTATTAGAAAATTTTGCTAAAGGAATTGTAAGATCAATAATCATAAAAGATATATAAGATAACATAGATAAATTAGAAAAAATGAAGAAAAAAATCTCAAAATACGATATACCTTTTAGAACAGACATAGATATGATTACAGATATTGATATTATAAATTCTCAAATATTACTAGACTTTGAAGAATTACTTAAAAATTTATGAGAAGACCAATAAAAAATAGATTACCACAAGCATATAAAAGATTAGTTTTTAACCTTACATTAAGATTTTATATACGCTTAATAACAAATAAATTAACTAAAACAAAAATAAAAGAATTTTTAGAATATTAGAATTGTGATTATTAGATTTTTGTTCGCTCATAGTAGCATCATCCCGTTGGTATCAGAGCCAGAGAGATCATGAGAAAATATATAAAAATACCTAAAAGATATTGAAAATAAATAAAATTAATCATTGAAAAGATAAAGAAAGACTCAAAAGTTTATGATTTTAGAAATTAT